AAACGTGTATGCATCTATGTATGTATTTTTACTTACAAGAAAATGTATATGGCAGCCCAACTCATGGTGACTCCACATAGTTTACAGCAATAATACTTTAATACAGAAACCAATAAACCCCATATATTGCAAATGGCAAAATGCAAAACCTCAGCATTTAACGTACTTGCCCTCAAATACAGGGCACCTCTAGCAAAGTTGATGTGTTTTGGATGATCATGGAGTACCCAAAAGTTGATTTTTTGCTTTTGTTCAAATTAGAAGTTAAACAGGCCCTCCTCGCCTTACTATCTACATTCATTCCTGATGCCATTCTTGCAAGGAGTTAAATCAGAGAAGTTTACCTCAGGGTTAAGGGCATATAAATTTGATCAATAAAGAAATGCAAACACCTTCAGTGCCTCAGGCAGCTTGCACACGGGCAGCCTCAGCTGGACCATTTTTCAGATTCCTCTCTTTTCTTGAATTGATGAGGCCAAAAATATTTCTGATCTCTTATCTGGTGGCGCTTTGATTCAAGCCACTCTTTCCTTCCTCAAAGGCTTTAATTAATGCCTGCCCATTTTGGCTATCCATGGGGCCTTTTCCTTCCCACTTACCTCCAGGTATTTCCCTCTTTTTCTCAATTTGGTAATGATATCTTTTTACTTTTTCAGGCAATATTTTCCTGAGTTCCACATAATCTATTTTTTCCCACTTGAAAACACTCAGTTCCTGTTATTCTCTCCATAGTCTCCATCTGCTGACGAATGACAAGAGTTTTAACACTTTCTAGAAGAAGTGGGAAAGATTTTGATTGATGGTTTGTTTTGCATCTCCCTTAGATCAGACATGTCAAACACAAGGCCCGGGGGCCGGGTGCGGCCCGCGAAGTGGTTTCATGTGGCCGACGAAGCCATCCTGGAAACAGTGTACAATTTTGTGGTGGCCATCTTGGCACTTGCCCCAGTCCTACCCCCTTCTGCCAGAGACCCTCAGATCTGTCCCACTCCTGCCCAAGCCCCCATAGGCGCCCTTGACGCGAATGATGTAGAACTGGCCATGCCCACCCAGTAGGCCACACCCACTCCATCCACACCCACCCAGTAGGCCACACCCACCCGGCCCCCCAAGGGCAACCACAATGCTGATGCGGCCCTCAGTGAAATTGAGTTTGACACCCCTGCCTTAGATCCATGGTTTTTCCTCTTGGGGATTAGGGGTGCAGGATAACTCCTCAAAACCTGCCTCTACAATTTAACGAAGCTGCAAGACTGAGGCTTGACCCCTTTGTCTCTTCTGTGATTGTATTTTCTTGTACTTCCATGTTTAGCTAACAAACCCAGTATTTCCTAATGGTGCCCCATCCCTCTTTAGCTATGCAAATTCAGGCGGCAATTGCTGTCACAACCCGAGAACCGTCCATATTTCTTTCCCAAGTTCAGGAGAGGCCTGAAAGAGTCATTTCCCCCCTTCTGGACAGTTGGCATCCTGGCTGGCTTTATACCTTCAACAGCCCTTTGCTGTGCAAAAGAAAATCAGGAGAGGTTTTCCTGGCAGAGGATTTCAAGGCATTGCTGCAGATTAAGATCTTTTCCAAGTGCAGCCGAGGAGGGCAATGAGAGGTTGGCAGCCTGGAACTTCAACTCGCCCTCTGATTGCAGCTCTGACTTTGCCACCTACACAAAGGGCTGTGCGGGAGAAAGACACCTGGGCCCTTTGCAGTCTGGGTTCAGTCCAGGGCACAGCAACAAAACAGCATTAGTTGCAATTCTCACGAAGCTTTTGGAGGCCTCGGGATAGACGGGGTACAACAATTATGTCCCTCCTAGACCTCTCATCAGGTTTCAATACTGTCGGCCATGATATTCCGGACCAGCTTTGGGGACTAGAAATGGGAGGCACTTTATTACGGTGGTCCTACTTCTACCTCCATGCCTGGTTCCAGTTGGTGTGGGTAGGAGAAGAGGGGCTGAGTCTCGGACCCCTGCAGTTTGTGATGCCCTGGGACTCAAGTTTTTTCCTTTTCTTTTTTAACGTCTACATCAAGGGTAGGCAACCTTGGCCCCTTTATGACTCGTGGACTTCAACTCCCAGAATTCCTGAGCCAGCCATGCTGAGGGGAAAGGGAGAGGTTTCCAAGCTGAGCCATGCCGGCTCAGGAATTCTGGGAGTTAGATAACCTTTATTTCATTTTTATACTGTGGGCACAACGGCACACATCAAAAATAAAATTTAGTTGGCCACTCTCAAAGTGAAACACATGACACACACCTAAACATACTATGAACAACATATGTATAGACCCACATCCCTACATATACGTAGCAAATACATATTAAAATATAAAAGAGGCAAGGTTGCCTATTATTATTATTATTATTTAAATTTATATACCGCCCTATCTCCCTTACGGGACTCAGGGCGGTGAACAGGCAATAATAAAAATCACAGTAAATATTACATAAAAGCCTGCTCTAAAATATGAAACCCCTAACAAAACCCAATCAAAACTACGCCAGGCCGGCCGCATGGAACAGATGAGTTTTCAGGACTCGGCGGAAGAGGCGCAGGTCCGCAATTGTACGTAGGCCTACCCCTGGTCTACATGAAACCTCTAGGGGAGGCCTCTCCATCCTATGATACCCAATAACGTACAGGTAGTCTTGGACTTACAACATTTTATTATCAACCATTTGAAGTTACAACAGCAGTTTAAAAAGTGACTTCTGACCATTTTTCACACTTGCAACCATTGCAGCATCCCCCCTTGTCACGTGAACAAAATTGTGATGCTTGGCGATTGACTCATATCTGACAGTTTGTGTTCTGGGGTCATGTGATCTCTTTGGGCGACCGAGCTGGTGTACAACCTGGGGGTCCCCTTGGACTCATGGCTACTGCTTGAGGAGATCATGGTCAGGGGAGGGGCTTTGCAGAGATTCATCTAGTGCGCGAATTGTGTCCTTTCCTGGATCAGGCCTTCCACGTGGGTCACTCATGCCTTGGGCACCCCGTTTAGATCACTGGCCTGAGTCACCCAGAAACTTTAATTGGTCCAGAACGCAGCAGCGGATACAGCAATGGGGGCCCTTAAGTTGTCCATGTAACTTCTTTGTGATACGAGCTGCCCTGGATTCTTTTCTTTACAGGCGCAATTGAAGATGCTGGTCATCATCTTTAAAGCTATTCATTATAGCAATAGCACTTACAATTATATACCACCCCACAGTGCTTTATAGCACTCTCCGTTTACACTGCAAGAATATTGTTCCCAACAATCCGGGTCCTCATTTTATCAATCTCAGAAGGATGGAAAGCCCCGTCAGATCGAATTCCAGGCTGTGGGCAGAATCAGCTGGCAATACTGCATTCTGGCCACTGAGCCACCAGGGTACCTGTCATTGTTTTCCCACCTTTATTATTTTTGCATGTATCTGTTCTACCACGTTCGATAGGGTGGACCCACTCCTAGCCTCTGCCCTTAAATATTGCCATCTGATAGGAACTAGTAAGAGAGCCTTTTCCGTTGCAGACTCTGCCCCTGAAGTATGGCAGGCTTTTATCCCCTAAGCACTGGGATAAGAAGAGGCGCCTGCACATCAGAAGCTTGACTTGGCACCAGGTTTTTGGTTTTATGCATTTGGTTTTTACAGTTTTTATGTTAATAATTGATTGTGAGCCAGCCAGAGTTTGTCATAATATGTCTGGCTGCATAAATGTTTTAAATAAATCAGAGGAAAAAGGAGGAGTCTGAAAAATGGACCTGCTGAGGCTGCCCATCTGCAAGTTGTTTCAGGCACTGAAGGTTTATGCATTTCTGTAATTATCAAATTTATGTGACGCTAGTCCTGTGGTTAACATCTTCAATTTAACTCCTTTCAAGTTTTGAGCAAGAATGGCAACAGGCATGAGCGTAGTTAGTAAGGCCAGGAGGTCTGGTTAACTTCTTAACTGAAGTAAGAATCACTTTTCTGGGACTCCCAGACCATCAAAAATGCCATCCACCTTGTTAGAAGTGCCCTGTATTTGTAGGGCAACATATTAAATGCAGAGGCCATTTTGCAATATATGGTGTTATTGCTACAAGCCACACAAAGTCACCATGAATTGAGTTACCATATATATTTTCTTAACAAACAGAAATACATATATACATACATATATATGGTTGCAAATAACATAAAAGACAGACGAATGACTCCTGGGAATATCCATGGTACAAAATAAAAATGCGAACACCAGGAGAATATAAGACAGTTAAAAGTTTAGTAAAAACCTTAAAAACTTTTAAAAGCATACAAATCATAGGGGCCAAGCTTTCGTCGGATCCTTCCGACATCCTCAGGGCACAAAGTCAATCAATGGGAAAACCAGTTATAAATAAACCGACGCCCCATGGTGGTTTGACACGGAAAGGCAGCAGAAATAAGGATAGAAGGATAGTTAAAGGGGTTAATGAGAATGTTACAATGATTGGTTATCACGGCCCTGTCACGAGATCTAGGGCCCGGATGCAAGCGTCGGTTTATTTATAACTGCTTTTCCCATTGATTGACTTTGTGCCCTGAGGATGTCGGAAGGATCCGACGAAAGCTTGGCCCCTATGATTGTATGCTTTTAAAAGTTTTTAAGGTTTTTACTAAACTTTTAACTGTCTTATATTCTCCTGGTGTTCGCATTTTTATTTTGTACCATACATATATATTTATATCCTACCTTTATGTAGAAATAACTCAAGGTAGCAAACATACCTAATAGAGATGCAAGCTCCTTTACTCTCGCCCAGCATGGCAGTTCCACTCCACTCCGTGAAAGAGAACTAGCGCACTGGGCCAGAGAAAAGGAACCTCAGATCAGACAGAAAACAAAATTCAAGATTCCACTACAGACAACACATTTTTCCTCATGGAATTTCTTATGTGTGATAAGGGAGGTATTTTGTGCGAAACAGTTTGCAATCAGGACATCTGAATGGTTACTCCCCTATGTGTAACCCTATATGATTTATAAGGCAAGATCTTCTACTAAAACCTTTCCCACAATCTGAACATTGATACGGTTCCTCTCCTGTGTGAGTCCTCCCGTGTATCACCAAACTGGAACTCCAACTGAAACTTTTCCCACAGTCTGGACACTGATATGGTTTCTCTCCCATGTGAATCCTCTGGTGTATTGCCAGGACAGAATTTTGAGAGAAACCTTTCCCACAATCAGGATACTCATGGTTTCTCTCCTGTGTGAGTTCTCTGGTGTTTCACCAGAGAGGAATCCCATTTGAAACTTTTCCCACAATCCAAACACTCATATGGTTTTTCTTCTGTGTGAGTAATTTGATGTTTCACTAAATTGGCCTTCTGACTGAAACTTTTCCCACAATCCGGACACTCATACGGTTTCACTCCTGTGTGACTCCTCTGGTGTATGATCAGGTTGGAATTATGACTGAAACCTTTTCCACAATTTGGACACTTATATGGTTTCTCTCCCGTGTGAGTCCTCTTGTGTGTCTCCAAATTGGACCTGCAACTGAAACTTTTCCCACATTCGAGACACTCATATGGTTTCTCTCCTGAGTGAGTCTTCTGGTGTTTCACCAGGTAGGAATTCTGACTGAAACTTTTGCCACAATCCAGACACTCATATGGTTTTTCTCTTATGTGGGTCCTCTGGTGTATCACCAGGTTGGAATTCTGACTGAAACATTTTCCACAATACAGACACTCATATGGTTTCTCTCCCGTGTGAATACTCTGATGGTTCACCAGCTTAGCATTCTGCTGGAAACTTTTCCCACAAATTGGACACTCATATGGTTTTTCTCCAGTGTGAGACCTCTGGTGTATCACCAAGTTGGAATTCTGCCTGAAACCTTTCCCACAATCTGGACACTCATATGGTTTCTCTCCCGTGTGAGTCCTCTGGTGTATCACCAAGTTGGAATTCTGCCTGAAACCTTTCCCACAATCTGGACACTGATATGGTTTCTCTCCTGTGTGAGTCCTCTGGTGTATCGCCAAAACAAAATTTTGAGAGAAACTTTTCCCACAATAACAACACTCATATGGTTTTTCTCCTGTGTGAGTCTTCTGATGTTTCACCAGGTATGAATTCTGACTGAAACGTTTCCCACAATCCAGACACTCATATGGTTTTTCTTTTATGTGGGTCCTCTGATGTATCACCAGGTTGGAATTCTGACTGAAACGTTTGCCACAATCTGGACACTCATATGGTTTCTCTCCTGTGTGAGTAATTTGATGTCTTACAAGATTGCCATTCTGACTGAAACTTTTCCCACAATCCGGACACTCATACAGTTTCACTCCTGTGTGACTCCTCTGGTGTATGATCAGGTTGGAATTATGACTGAAGCCTTTGCCACAATCAAGACATTCAAAGAGTTTCTCTCCCGTGTGAGTCCTCTTGTGTGTCTCCATATTGGAACTGCAACTGAAACGTTTCCCACATTCGAGACACTCGTATGGTTTTTTTCCTGTGTGAGTCTTCTGATGTCTCACCAGGTAGGAATTCTGACTGAAACTTTTCCCACAATCTGGACACTCATATGGTTTTTCTCCTGTGTGGGTCCTCTGGTGTATCATCAGGTTGGAATTCTTACTGAAACGTTTCCGACAATACAGACACTCATATGGTTTCTCTCCCGTGTGAATACTCTGATGGTTCACCAGGTTAGCATTCTGCTGGAAACTTTTCCCACAAATTGGACACTCATATGGTTTTTCTCCAGTGTGAGACCTCTGGTGTATCACCAAGTTGGAATTCTGCCTGAAACTTTTGCCACAATCTGGACACTGATATGGTTTCTCTCCCGTGTGAGTTCTCTGGTGTATCACCAGGGAAGAATCCCATTTGTAACTTTTCCCACAATCTGAACATTCATATGGTTTTTCTCCTCTGTGAGTTCTTTGGTGTCTCACTCGATTGGCATTCTGACTGAAACATTTCCCACAATCCGGACACTCATACGGTTTCACTCCTGTGTGACTCCTCTGGTGTATGATCAGGTTGGAATTATTACTGAAGCCTTTGCCACAATCAAGACATTCAAAGAGTTTCTCCTCAGTGTGAGTCATCTTATCTCTCACCAAATTGGAATTCCAGCTGAAACTTTTCCTACAATCAAGACACTCATATAGTTTTTCTCCTGTGTGACTTTGGTGTATCACCAGCTTGGAATTCCAAGTGAAACTTTTCCCAAAGTCTGAACACTCATGGTTTCTTTCCACTGTGAATCCTGTGTATCACCAGATTTGTGTGCAGGCTAAATCTTTTGTCGTATTGGAAGCAGTGGTAGAGCTTCTCTCCAGTACCGGTCCTTGCCGCTCTCCAAACATTCCTATGACTTTTCATAGGGTGGATCCTCTTGTGCATATTCAGCCGTGATCTGCAATTCGTATTTTTCCCACAATAGGCACTCTGTGGGGGTTTTCCAACACTGATATTCCTGGATTCTTGAAGAGGCCAAAAATATTTCTGATCTCTTAGTTTTATTTGGAGGTTCTTTGATTCAAGCTGTTCTTTCCTTCCTCAAAGGCTTTAATTAATACCTGCCCATTTTGGATATCCAAGGTATCTTTTCCTTCCCACTGACTTCAAGCTATTTCCCATTTTTTTCCTTTATTTGAAAACTGACCTCCTTGACTTCTCATGTAATGTATCCTTGAGTTCTATATACTTTATTTTTTCATCTCAAAACTCTGTTCTTGTTATTCTCTCCCTTGTTTCTCATCTGCTGAGGAAGGAGAAGAGTTTTTACACTTTCCAGAGGAAGTAGAAAAGATTTTGATTGATGGTATATTTTAAGGCTGCTTCTCATTCTCTGTTGTTCACATTGCTCTTCTTGGCATCCGCTTTCTCTGTAAGATTCATATTAATGGGTTAGTTTCATTATTGCTTTAAAAATGGCTGCAGAATATGTGAAAGCAGCAAAAAAACACCTTATATTACCATGAAAACATCAAAATTCTAGTTTAACCTCTAATATTAATTATGATTCATTTAGCATATAGAAGACTAGTTAGATTCATGTTCAAATATTGAGTCAATCATAAAATTCTATTTTTGGGGGGTTTGGGTAGATAACACATATCTATCTATCTATCTATCTATCTATCTATCTATCTATCTATCTATCTATCTATCTATCTATCTATCTATCTATCTATCTATCTATCTATCTATCTATCTTTATCTCTCTCACACACACTAACTCACTCTCCATTACTCTATATCTCTATCTCTATTACTCTATCTCTAATTTTATGATTGAGTCAATCTCTCATTTCTATGTCTGTCTGTCTGTCTATCTATATGGAGAGAGAGAGAGTAATTATTCTATCTATATTACTCTCTATCTCAGTGGTTCCCAACCTTTTCTATACCCCGCACCCCAGAATGCTTCTGATATATTCTTGCACCCCTTACAAATGTTTGAAATAATGAATTGTGCATGTACAGCATAATTTTGAAACTTCTAAAACTCTAGGGAGGTATATTGTCTCCATGTAGCAAAAATCAATCATGTAACTAAGTTCCTTATTAAAATAATCAATCCCATGGATTACTACCCTTTCTTCTCCTACATATGGGGACCAATGACACAACAATGAATCTGAAAACAATAAAAAGAGATTACGAACAGCTTGGGAAGAAAATTAAAGAATTAGGAGCATAAGTGGTGTTTTCATCTATGCTTCCAACAAAAGACCAACATCCAATGAGGGAGCAGAGTATTTTAGAAATGAATTACTAGCTTAAAACTAGCGTTGTCCACAGGACTTCAGCTTCCTAGACCATAGTTTGCATTTCTTACATGAAGGGCTACTGGCAAGGGATGGAGTAAACTTCACAAAAACTGGAAAGAATATATTTGGAAAATGACTGGCTCATCTTTTCAAAAGGGCTTTAAACTAAAATTGAGGGGGGGTACTTTTAGAACCTACTTTTATGTCAAAAGATAACCAATCACATAAGAAGGTAGGGAGTAAAGCGTAAAGAGAAAGAAGAAATAAAAAAAGAAAAACATAATGAAGTTGAGAGTGATGGAAAGGATGTAAATCCCAGTTACAAAATAGGAGATATAAGAAACATACCCAAGACCCATAAAGGACTGAAATGCCTATACACTAACACTCAAAAGTTTAGAAAACAAAAAAGGTGAACTTGAAGCATTAGTACACAAAGGCAGATATGACATTGTTGCCATTACTGAAACGTGGTGGGATGAAACTCATGACTGGAAAGATGGAAGGATACAAACTGTTCCAAAAGAAACAGACCAAACAAAAGAGGAGATGTTGTTGCATTATATAAAAAAGATCACTACATTTCTATAGAAATACACAAAACCAAGGATGAAAATCCATATGGGACAATATAAAAGGGAAAAAATTACATTGCTATAGGCCACCCAACCAAACAGAAGAAATAGATGAACTCTTTACTAATCAGTTAACAAATGTATGTAGGAAACATACCACAGTAGTAATGGGAAACTTTAACTTCCCTGATATTAACGAGTGGCAGGTGGTACGCAGCCCTGCCTAGCCAAGTGTAGTGGGGGAGGGAAAGAGCCAGTGCAGGCAAGGACTTACTGTGAGAGAGTCCTCTGGAGCTGCAGAGTGGCTGGGGCGAGGTAAAGGCCCCAGGCTCACTTATGGCTCACCCTCCTCCATAGAAAGGAGGAGGAGGGGAGCGGAGACAGGAGAGGCTATAAAAGGAGGCAGTTTGGGTGGGAGAGGGAGAGAGAAAAAAGCAGCAGCAGCTTTGGGAGGAGGTGGAGTCAACTCTAGCTGCACCGAAAAGGGGGAGGAGGAGGGTGGGGGAGAGGAGATCAAGCAGGCCGGCCATGGGCCGATCTACAACTGCTGTGACAGCCACCTGTGCTGGCAGCAGCAAACAGGCAAGAAATGCAGTGGGGGAGGGGTTGCCCTCCAAGAGGAATGAAAAAAGGCAGCAATGGCTGGAGGTGAGGCATGGAGGAGGGAGGGAGGGAGGGGGAGAGTGGAAGGATTCTTATGTGCTTTTGTGACTTTGAAGTTCTGGGATTTGTGCAATGTGGGCTTTGTGTTCTTAAGGAGTGTTTGGCAATTTCTATTTGGCTGATGGCTGGTGTTAGCTTCTATTGCTCTGCTATTGTTAGCTGTAAGTTTTGCTGCAAGGGATTTTGAAGTATTTTTCTCCTGAATGGATTTTGCCTGTAGCATTCCTTTACTTATGAATGGAGCCATTTGGGGAGGCTGCCTTAGCCAGCAGCCAATACTTACATTTTGTTTTCTTCCTTAAGTGCCGGCTGCACTGCTTAACTTTCCTTTCTAGCCAGTAGCTAATTCTTAAAGGGGAATGTGCCTTTTTAAGCTAGTTCACTCAGCAGTTTGTCTTTTCTGTCTCTGGAGGCTTTTCCTTGTTTGATGAATATATGGAAGAGAGAAAATATGGGGGGATTTTCAAATTCTTCCTTCAGAAGGAGGTGGGTATGAGAAAGAGGGAGGCAGGGAAGGAGGGAGGAAAGTCCCGCCTTAGTACTTGGCCACCAGCAGCCCTGTCATTGACTTTGCTTGTCAAAAGATTGCAAAAGAGGATCACATGACCCTGGGACACTGTGACCATCATAAATATTAATCAGTTGCCAAGCATCCAAATATAAATCACATGATCCTGGGCATGCTGCAATGGTCATACGTGTCAAAAATGGTCATAAGTCATTTCAGTGCAATTGCAACTTTGAGCAGGGTTTTTTTTTTTGGTCATCAAGTTTTTGACACTTTGCTAGGTGGTACTCGAATATTGCCATAGCCTAAAAGTGGTACAATTGGTGAAAAGGTTGAAAAGCCCTGGTCTACAATACAGTCATTTCAGCAGTTCCAAGAAGGCTCCACACCCATTTGCACTACCCAGGTGACCCTGAGGACCCTGAGGACACAGATAAATCTCCAAGTGGCCTCAATGACTCTCTAAAAGAATGCAAATGACCAGCTGTCTGCAAGGAATATAAATCCTTCCATTCCCCACCATCCAGTGAGAGCTGAAGAAGCTTCTTGGACAAGCAAAACATCTTTAAAAAAACAAGAAAGTCCTGTTGCCTTTTGAACAAGCACCTTTGGGACTACAGACCAATCAGCAAAACATCAATACCTGGGAAGATACTGGATAAAAATAATTAAAAATAGATCTGTGAATATCTAGAAATAAAGTTATAACTAGTAGCCAGCACAGGTTTGTTAAAAAAAGATCATGCCAAACCACTCTTATTTCATTCTTTGACAGAGTGACTAAATTAATAGACCAGCGAAATGTTGTGGACATAGCATACTTAGACTTCAGCAAGGCATTCAGCAAAGTAGACCACAACCTACTTCTTGGTAAACTAGAAAACTGTGGGAAAGCACAAGAATATCCTCAATGAAAACCTGTTTCACAGCACTCAGGACCTAAGACTGGGCTAATGATTCACTTTCCAACATTACACCGATCCTAAGCACACAGCCAAAACAACACAGGCGTGGCGTAGGAACAACTCTGTGAATCTCCCAGAGTGGCCCAGCCAGAGCTCTGACTTGAACCCTACTGAATATCTCTGGAGGGACCTGGCAATGGCTGTCTACTGATGGTCGCCTAAGCTTGAAAGAATTTGCAAGGAAGAATGGCAGAAAATCCCCAAGTGTGTAAAGCTTGCCATGCCCTATCCCTAAAAAACTTGACTGTAATTGCTGCCAAAGGTGCTTCAACAAAATACTGAATGAAAGGTCCGAATATTTATGTCATATGATATTTCAGTTTTTAAATAAATTTACAGACATTTCTAAAATTCTGTTTTCACTGAGTCATCATGGGGGTACTGACTGTAGATTAATGAAAAAAAAAATGAATTTCAACAACTAGAATCAAGGTGCAGCATAACAAATTTGACAAAAGTGAAAACTTTCTGAGTGCACTGCATTTGTGTGCCTATTGACACAGAAATCCACACCTATGAATTCATTTATACAAAGAATTATGTGTATTTCAGTGTGCAAAATGCCTCAGAGGTGCATTTTGCCCATTAAACTCCTCGCTTGTCAAGAATAGAATGTGTCAATAAAATCACAACGAATGAAGTGTTACGTAAAGGCTGAGGGAGATGGGCTGTTACAAAATATGAAATAGAAATAAATATTTTTTAGAAAAAAATCTCCCAAATCTCCCAGCAGAAAATCACAGGCAGCCGTTTTAAATCGTGCAGCCACAGAGGAATAAAATTTAGGGAGGGAAGGAACGTGCAGCAGCAGCCGATATCTTTCAGCCTCGTCCCTTTGCTGTTTCCACACAGTGGAGGAAACCAAACAGCCCGACTTGCTCCCGGCTTCTCCTCCGACCTGCCCTCCACTCACCTCCCAGGAGCCGCTTCCACCCTCGAAACAGGGGAAGAGGCTCCGCCGACGCCATCTTTCTCCCGTGGCTGAGCCGGAAAAGGAAGTTCCTTTGTCTTCCGCCTCCTCTCCTCCACATCCTCTCTAGTAATACAATACTCTATCGTTTCAATTCGTTCCAGCTCAGCCTTTCTCCCTCCGCTACGAAATTAGCACTAACGATGCCGCTACTGTATTCTCTGCTTTCTAGGCACGCGTGTTCCCGAGTTGTAGAGCGCCATCTAGCGACATAAGGCTGAAAATCACGCTCGTCCTATCTCTACCCTCAAGCGTTGGCAAGATGTTTTCATTGATTCCGGGCTTATCTACTATCAAGTCGTATTCCTCTCCCACCGAACGCATCGATAGGTTTTTTTTTCCCCTGAGGATCTCTCCCAAACCTTTTCTTTCAGGTCTCCCAAGAGTGCAGTCATTGTCCCTCTTGCTGCAACGAAACCAAAGGAAAGTATAAATCATGTAAGGGGAAATGATGGACAACAGCCAACGAGAAAGGGCATTTTCCTTTGAGGCTGGTGACCATGGTTCCAGGCAGTTTTTCATTTTCTTGGGGGGTGCAAGATAACTCCTCGAAACCTGTCTCGGCAAATGATTGAAGCTGTAAGAGTGAAGCTTCCCCCTACTTAGCTTCATAAGATGAGCAGGTGCTGCGCCCTAAAACTTCCTGAAGTATTCCTGTGTGCGTCCATATATAGTTGTCAGCTTCATCCTATTCAGGGGTCTTCAAACTTGGCCCTTTTATGACTTGTGGACTTCAACTCCCAGAATTCCTCAGCCAGGCGTGCTGGGAGTTGAAGTCCTCAAGTCATAAAAGGGCCAAGTTTGAAGACCCCTGATCCTATTAATAGAAGAATGAAACACGGGAGCCACCGGGAAGCGCCCACTGGCATTGCCTCTGAACCCCATCTAGATTACAGTATTTGTGGAATTCTGGGAGTTGAAGTCCACATGCCTTAAAATTGTCAAGGTTGAGAAACACTGAGATAGGAGGTAGATATGATCATCCTGTCTGTATTATTGGGGAGTTTAAATCTTGCTAGGCGGCGGAATTGCTCGGGGCAGCCCTCCCAATTCCCAGCCTTCCTACCTTTCAGCCTTATTATTCCCAAGCAGCTCGAGCAAAAACACTTGGAGGAAACCAGTTTGCAGAAAGCTGGTCCAAACATTTCTGCCTTTTTTTGCAGGAGTGGTTTTAGGGGAGATCGAAATCTCTCTAAATCCTACAATTTTATGAATCTCCTTGTGGCTCTAGTGAAGGATGGTGGTGGCGGCCTTATGCTTTGAGGCTGCTTTTCTTCACCTGGAACTGGAGCTTTAGTCAAGATGGAGGAAATTATGAACTGTTCTAAAAATCAGTCAATTTGGGCACAAAACCTTCAAGCCTCTGCCAGAATCCTGAAGATGAAGAATAATTCCGCCATTCAATGACCCAGAGCATACTTCCATATCAATAAAACAATGGCCTCACTAGAGGAAGATTTAAGTCTTGGAATGGCCCAGCTAGAGGCGGGACTTGAATCCAATTGAAAATCTTGGGGTGACCCTCACAACCTGAAAGATTTGGAGCAATTTGCTAGGAAGAATGGGCAAAGATTCCCAAGGCAAGAATGTGCCAGGCTCCTATCTCAAAAGCCTGCATGCTGTGATAAAATCAAAAAGAGCTTCAGGAAAGAATTAATTTAAGGGTGCGCATCTTTATGAAACCATGTTATTGTAAGTTTATTATTGTTATTTTCCCTCATAAAATATGTTTTTCAATTGAACTGTACAACTTTTAAGTTATATTAAAGGTGAAAAAATTCTGAGGTGATTTGTCTTGGTCTGATTTACTTACATCCCAAAAACCTGGCATTTTACAAGAAGTGTGGAGATGTTCTCTATGCCCTGTATATCTGGGGATAAGATGATATACTGTAGATGCAAATAGAAATATACATGCCTACGAATGTAAATATGTAAAATATCCATGTGTATTTTAGCCTGAAAAAATGTCCCAAAATCGTTATTGTCAAACCTTCTGAGGTAATTTTAGAGATGTGGGGGCTTTAACTGATGAAATGATACCTAAAGTCTCTGCAAGATTGAAGCACCAGTTTTGCCCGTGGTGGAAGCCCTCAGCTCCAAATAAGGGCAGAAAATAATATCGACAATCCCTCTGGTGACATTTCCATTCAATGTAGGTGTTGGTCATCACCTTTAAAAGCAATTTATTTTAGCAATAGCTATTAGACTTATATACCACACTTCAGAGCTTTAAAGCACTCTCGGTTTACAGTGTCAGCATATGGCCCCCCAATAATGGTCACGTGATCAAAATTCAGATGCTTGGCAAGAGGGGAGATTTGGACATGGGTCACTCATGCCTTTGTCACCACCTATTTGGATCACTACACTGGGCCACCCAGAACCTTCAACTGCTCCAGAATGCAGCAGCACAGACACCAACGAAGGCCCCTAGGTTGGCCATTTAAAATCTCTGTGGTGTGAGATGCAATGGATTCATTTCTTTAAGGTGCAATTCAACATGCTGGTCATCACCTTTAAAGCTACTTCTTTATTATAGCAATAGCACTTACAATCATGTACCACCCCAAAGTGTTTTATAGCCCTCTTGGTTTACAGAGTCACCATATTGTTCCCAACAATCTGGGTTCTCATTTTACTGAACTCAGAAGGATGGAAGGCTGAGTCAACCGTGAACCCCTTCAGGATTGAATTCCAGGCTACAGGCAGAGTCAGCTGGCAATACTGCCTTCTAACCACTGAAACACCAGGGCACCTGTCATTATTGCCCCATCTTTATTATTTTTGTATCTATCTGTTCTACCAGGTCAGATAGGGTGGGCACGCTCCTAGCCCCCTTTTTTAAATATTGCCATTGAATAGGAGCTGGGAAGTGAGCCTTTTCCGTTGCAGACCCTGCCCTATGAGACACTCTTCCCCCTGAAGTATGGAAGGCCTTTATCCTCCTAGTCTTCCGTAAACCAAAGCAGATCTAGCTTTTCCCCTAAGCCGGTGATGGCCAACCTTTTAGAGACCAAGTGCCCAAAAACCGCCCCCGCCTCCCCACCCACCCCCGCTCTGCACCCCGCCCACCTGCATGGCCACCCACCGCCTCCACAGCCCACCACAGCAGATTGTCCAGGTAGCCCAGCAGCACCATGGTGGCCATGCCCTCCACCCATGCCCCACAGCATCATCTGTGACAGGGTGCAAGGGCAGAGTCTTGTCCCTGCTGCCTGGCTGCCATGCCCTTGGCTGTGCTGCTCTGCACGGACTGCCCTCGGGGGCAAGTCTCCTCCAGGGACCTGCTGGTGAGGAGGGGGCCATGGGGGGAGGCAGGGCTGGGGCAACGGTGCATGTGCCCAAAGAGAGGGCTCTGAGTGCCACCTCTAGCACGCGTGCCATAGGTTCGCCACCACTGCCCTAAGCATTGGGATAAGAAGAGGCGCCTGCACATCAGAAGCTTGAATTGGAACCAGGTTTTTCTTTAATGCATTTGGGTTTAATATGTTTTTTAAGTTATTGATTGGGACCCAGCCAGTTTGTTGATATGGGTGGTTACACAAATATTTTAAATAAATTGGAGGAAAAAGAAATGAATCCGAAAATGTGGCCCCGCTGAGGCTGCCCATGTGCAACTCGCTTGAGGCACCGAAGGTCTATGCCTTTCTTTAATTTTCAAATTTATAGGCCGCTAATCCTGAGGTTAACTTCTCCAATTTAACTCCTTGCAAGGAGAAAGTTCTCCAGTTTGGACCAAGAATGTCATGAGGCATGAATGTAGTTAGTAAGACCAGGAGGCCTGGTTAACGTGAACAAAATTCGAACAAAAGCAAGAATTACCTTTTTCGGATGCCCAGACATCAAAATTCAATCAACCATGCTAGAAGTGGCCTGTATTTGCAGCTTAAGTACATGTTAAATGTGGAGGCTTTGCATTTCGCTGTTTGCAAGATAGTCGGTTTATTGCTTTCTGTATTAAGGTTTTATTGCTGTAAACCATGTGGAATCACCTTGAGCTGGACTGCCATATATATTTAATAAATAAAAATGCATAAAAATATATCTTTTTATATCCCGCTTTATTATATATACAAGTACTTCAAGTCAGCAAACATACCTAATAGAGAGCCAAGCTCCTTTTCTTTGGCTCAGCACAGCAATTCCCCTCAACTCCGTGAAAGGAAATGACTGCACTGGGCAAGAGAAAGGAAGCTCAGATCTCCTCCCTCATTTTTGATACTAAGACATGTTTGATTAAAAAGAATAAGGCAAAAAATTAAATGCTTAGTTTCTCAGCTCGGCTTTCAATGAGTGACGAGAAATGAAGTTCAAGATACTTCTACAGAGATCAAATTTCACCTCATGTGGAATTTCTTGTGTTTGATAAGGGAGGAATTCCGTGTGAAACACTTTCCGCAATCTGGGCATTTGAATGGTTTCTCCCCTGTGTGTAACCTTACATGATTGATAAGGCTAGACCTACTACTGAAATCTTTCCCACAATCCGGACATTCATACGGCTTCTCTCCTGTGTGAGTCCTCTGGTGTATCACAAGGCATGAATTTCGAATGAAACTTTTCCCACAAAACATACACTCATATGGTTTTTCTCCTGTGTGAGTCCTCTGGTGTTTCACCAGGTAGGAATTCTGACTGAAATTTTCCCCACAATCTGAACACTGATATGGTTTTTCTCCTGTGTGAGTTCTCTGGTGTATCATCAGGTTAGAATTCTGACTGAAACTTTTCCCACAATCCAGACAGTCATATGGTTTTTCTCCTATGTGGGTCCTCTGGTGTATCACCAGATTGCCATTCTGACTGAAACGTTTGCCACAATCTGGACACTCATATGGTTTTTCTCCTGTGTGGGTCCTCTGGTGCATCACCAGATTGCCATACTGACTGAAACTTTTCCCACAATCCGGACACTCATACAGTTTCACTCCTGTGTGAGTCTTCTGATGTCTCACCAGGTAGGAATTCTGACTGAAACTTTTGCCACAATCTGGACACTCATATGGTTTTTCTCCTGTGTGGGTCCTCTGGTGTATCACCAGGTTGGAATTCTTACTGAAACGTTTCCCACAATACAGACACTCATATGGTTTCTCTCCCGTGTGAATACTCTGATGGTTCACCAGGTTAGCATTCTGCTGGAAACATTTCCCACAAATTGGACACTCATATGGTTTTTCTCCAGTGTGAGACCTCTGGTGTATCACCAAGTTGGAATTCTGCCTAAAACTTTTGCCACAATCTGGACACTGATATGGTTTCTCTCCCGTGTGAGTTCTCTGGTGTATCACCAGGGAAGAATCCCATTTGTAACTTTTTCCACAATCTGAACATTGATATGGTTTTTCTCCTCTGTGAGTTCTTTGGTGTCTCACTCGATTGGCATTCTGACTGAAACATTTCCCACAATCTGGACACTCATACGGTTTCACTCCTGTGTGACT